TGTTCCCAGATTGCGTAGTAGGGCTTGAACCCTGGAGGCAGCTTGTCTTCAGCTGGCCATGTTGAAGAGATGTACTCCATGACCTTCTGTATAATAGGGTCACGAGCTGTCGCATCTTGGAAGTTGCGCAGACAATAGAAACCACTTATTCAGAAAACTTTGTGCCGTTTTCGGTGTCCTTGACGGGCAGACGGGACAATGCGTCTGCGATGGTGTTGTCGGCTCCCTTGCGGTACTCCATCAGGAAGTTATAGTTGAACAAACGGGCTGTCCAACGGCTGATGTGTAACGGTCGGACTCCGGTGCCCTGCGTAGACATGAGGGTGACGAGTGCGCGATGGTCGGTGTGGATGGTGAATTGTCTTCCCCATAGGTAGGTATGCCACTTCTCGCACGACCACAGGATCGCCAGGGCCTCCTTTTCTCCCACGGAGTACCTTCGCTCGGTGTACGTCAAGGAACGGCTTGCAAAGGCCACGGTCTTGAGCTTCTGTCCGTGCTGCTGTTGCAGAACTGCTCCAAGGTCGTAGTTCGAGGCATCGGTCGACACGATGATCGGTAATGTCGGGTCAAACATCGTTAAGATAGGAGCTTTCTGGAGCGCAGTCTTGACTTCCTGGAAGGCGCTCTTGACGTCAGGAGTCCAAGAAAAAGAGTTGCCTTGGCACAACAAACGACGCATTGGTTCAACTACTGTCGCGCAATGTGGAATAAATTTGCTGTAATATTCCACTAGACCGAGGAATGCCTTGAGTTGCGTCGGATCGGACGGTGTAGGAAAGTTTAGGACGGCATCTATCTTGGAAGGAAGGGGCGCTACGCCTTCCGTGGATAGACTGTGGCCGAGAAAAGACAAAGTTGGGACACGGAAAACCGCCTTTCGGTTCAACTTCATGCCAGCGGACTTGATCCGTCGGAGGACTTCACGCAGGTGTGCGTCATGCTGTTGGCGTGTTGATCCGTAGACGATCACGTCGTCTAAGTAGAACTGTACGCTGGGGCAGTCCTTGAGGATCTTTGACATGACTTGTTGGAACGCAGCTGGCGCGGAGGCCAAGCCGAAGCAGACTCGCTTGAAGTGAAATAAACCCTCATGCGTGATAAACGCTGTGAGGTCTCGACTCTTGGGGTCGAGTCGCACTTGATGGTAGGCCGATGCGAGGTCAAGCTTGGAAAAGCAAGATGCTCCTTTGAGCGAGTTTAGGAGCTCGTCGATGTGCGGTAGTGGGAAAGAGTCAATCACAACCGCGCGGTTGGGAGCCTGAAGATCAACGCACATGCGGATACCGCCGTCTCTCTTCTTTACGACTACGATTGGCAAGACCTACTCGGAGGCGCTGATGCGCCTCCGAGTGCGTCTTCTGGATCTTGGCCGTTACGGACTCGCGCAGTGTGAACGGTAAACGACGGAGCTTCGCCTGTACGGACGGAACATGACGACGGACCGTAATGGTATGTGTCTGGTTTACGACCAGACCTAACTCGGACGAAAAAAGTTCTTCAAACTCCTCAAAACCGGGAGGAAGCTTGGAACAATCGCCCTTCGACAATGGAGAGTGGTCACTGGACGAAGTCGACGGACCTTGGGCTGTGGGGACAGCTTACGACGAAGTGCCTAAGGCACCAGAAAAGTGGGTGGACGAACTGAAGTCAGTCGTGGACGGTGGCTGCGAGACCTCAGCCTCGGTTAAATGTCCCGGGACGGCTGTACCAGGAGGAGCTGCGTCGATGTGAAAACACTTTTTGGTATGGCAGACAAGATCATCTTGAGGTCATGCACCGCATCAACTCCATGTAGGGAACGTCCGTTGCGCACAACGTAGAAGAGGATTGTCGCGAAGCGATCCTTGAACACGACGTTCGCGTGGAAGCATCCCAAAACGGAAATTAACCCTTCAGGTAGTGCACCAAAGTGCGCGGCGGCTTTGACAACCTGATGCGGCCGCTCCGATTAATGCGGTTGAAAGTCGCATCTCACAGAATTGAAACTTCAGCGCCGGTGTCGATGAGTATGGAAAGAGGGAAACCGTTCACCTCTACATCGGTCGTGAAGCTCCGGCGCTGGGGACGGGGTCGTTGCTCCTGACGACCACCGGGTGACCCCACTGTGTAGACGCTGGGCCGCAACTCGTCGTCGTCATCATCCAAGAACGTGCCGACGCCTTGCACGGGGGTGCCTGTCGGACCAGCTTGTCGACGCTCGTAATAGCCGCGGGCAGAAGCCCGCCGCCCAGAAGGAAGGGCCAGTTGACGTTGATCCCGGTCGCCCCTCAGACGGCTTCGGCACACATTTGCAAAGTGTTCCACACGAGAAGCACGTGGCTCCGGATGCTGGACACTCATCTCGGGGGTGACTTAGTCTTCCACAGAAAAAACATCCGCCCTCGTGAACCAGAAGACACGCACTGGGGAGAGGATCGCGTGGGCGCACATTGAACAACGGGCGAGAGGGAACTCGCAATTGCCTGCGGTCTCGACGTGGCAAGGAAGGAGGAAAGGGCCGCTCGCATCCCGATGGAGGAGGGGGAGGCTCGCGCCTCGGAGGAGAAGAGTGAGATGGCTTGCGTGTTGATGGAGAAGGGGGAGGAGGAGGAGGACGCTCACGCCTCAGGGAAGAAGACCCGCGGTGTCGGGCTGACTGCCCGCCATGTTGACCATCCCGGTCGCGACCGCGACCGCGTCCATCTTGAACCCGATCGACCACGTGCGGCGTGTTTGAACTCGAGTCTAACGACAAGCGTCGGAAGAGATCGCAATCACGAGACATCTGCTCGAACTGCTGCACTAACTGGACAGCATGCTCGAGGCTAGGTGCGTTAGCTCCGCCGGACTCTCTGATTAAACGATCTTGGACTTCTGTGTTACGGATCCCCGAAATAAACATTTCCGCGACGCGGGTCTCCAAGGCCTCTCCGTAGTCGCAAAACGATGCTGGGCGTATGAGCGCCCCAAGATACTCGAGGACGGTCTCTCCTGGACCCTGTGCCCTTGTGACGAACTTTCTGCGCTCAACTACGACGTTTTGAGCGGAAGCGAAGTGGGTGTCCAAAGCGGACAACAAACCCTGAAACTCATCTTGTGCCGCGTTAACGGCTGGACCCGCTAGGTTGAACGCATCCACGACACAATTTCCTTCTCCTAAAAAAGACAACAAAATCGCCCCCTTCCGTTTTGGCGATAATCTTTGGCGTCGGTCGCCTCTAGGTAGTTCAGGAGGCTGCGCTTCCAAGTCAGCCACGGCGCCACCGGCTCGCCGGGCGTAGGGAGGAATTCGGCGGGAATGCGACCCTACGCAGCCGCCATCTTGGACGCAGCGGACAAAGGCGCGAAGGCTAAAAATGCGGAAGAAGAAAAATTATCCCATCCTCGTCGCCAAAAATGTAGTAATCACTCGTCGCCAAAATGTTGTAATTAAAATCGGTCACCCGTGAAAATGAAAGGGAGCGCAGGGCCTACGTGGGCCTGCGGAAGAAACGAGGTCTTACATGCCGTAGTGATGAGGCGACGCCGGCGGGGCCCAAGGGCGGGAACGCCCGGAAGAGAGGAGACGTCGAAGCGCGTCAGGGTCCAAACACATACTCTTTTATTCAGGGGGAAACAACCCGGGGGCACAGCTTGATGGGTGTACAATAGCGCCGCCTGGCCACGGGTATTGCTGTGGCGGTTTGTGGCGCCATCTAGTTAGTGTGACGAGTGACTTAAATGAAAAAATTGAAATACTACACAGTGTTTATTATAGTGCCCAGGAACAACCTTGCGGTCTTGGTACTGGCACACTGGATGGAAATGAATACACAAATCACACAAATACAGAAGAGCAATGCATTATACAGAAACTGAATATGACCATACACGACAGACACTGAGATGAATGATAACAAAATACAATTTCTAGGTCTTGTTGACAATGAAGAGGAATTGCAGTAATGTAAAAAGTTTGAGACGCACTCAAAGCGAATACTATGCGAAGCAGTAGCACAAGGACAGACCCAACAATTTCTGTGCTCTCCGAAATCAGTCTTAAAGTGAACCACAATCATTATTCACCCGCCGGACAGGTCTTCAATAGAATTAACAAATGCCCTGTAGCACGAGTTAAATATATTCAGTTTCTCAGAGTACTGGTTATAACACTCAGTCAGTCTAATAATTGGGTTTAAAAGACTAAATTTTTTGGAAATATAAACGGATAATTGATTCCGAGTAGGCACACGTGGAACCCTAAGGCACACTTCAGACAAGAGGCTTGGTGAATTAATCGACCCATGCAACGTCTTAAAAAAAACAGTAGGTCCGCCTTTTGCCGACGCCGGTGCAGGCTCAGCAAGTCAACACGCTCTAACGTTGCGTCATAAGTTGAACAATGAAAGTCTTTTATAGGGTAGTGATGTGTAAAGATGGATATGAACTTTTTCTGAACTCGTTCGATTTCCAATGAGTTGGATTTAGAGATTCCGTTCCACACAACTGAGTCATATTCTAACTGGGGCATGCACAACGAACGGTACAACGTGAGAAACGCAGAAGGATGCTTGAAGTCCCTCGCTAAGCGAGAGGCAACATCCAGCGTGCGCAGAGACGAGTTAACGAGCCTAGTTATGTGACGAGCGAATCGCAGGCTAGGATAGAACATAACTCCCAGATCTTTCATTGCACATACTCGGGACAGGGGTTCACCAAGAATACTATATGCGAAAAATGTATTCTGTGCCTTCCGAGTAAATGCCATAACCTTGGTTTTAGCGCGGTTTAAGAGAAGATAATTGGCTGAGCACCATCTAAAAAAAGATCATGCATCTTCCTGAAGCCTAGTGAAATCATCTGAAGTAACTATTTCTTTGTAAATTTTAATGTCATCAGCGTATTGCAGGAACGAAGAATTAGAAATAGCATCAGAGACGTCATTTACAAAAATTGTGAACAGGAGCAGTCCTAGGACGGATCCCTGAGGAACGCCAGAACTTGCCCCGTACAATGAAGAGTTCATATTGTTGACTTGAACGTACGAGTTTCAAAACGCTTGGATCAAGACCTGCCCACCCTATTGCGGCAACAGCAGGACGTACGTTGCAGCACCGGCCGACAGCCTGACCAAGATGGCCTCTAGCCTAGACAACGACACGGATACCCCTGCAGGTGTTTCCACGCCAACCAAGCTCTCCCCAACCACGGAAATTACACGGTACATCAACCCAATCGAACGTGAATGGGGCCACCAGGGACTCGGACCTCACCCCAACTTGCACGCTGCTCAACCTAGCGTGGGTTTCGGCATCATGGCCGTATTTAAAAAGAATCTGGACCTACCCGGATCGGGGGACAAGTTTCAAGAAGTTGCCGCCTTTTTCCGGGTCGACACTGAAATTGTGCTACACACGGATATCTACACGATTAATCCCATGAACACTTGCTACCCGGCACAGGAGCAACACTTTGAGATGAGCAACTTTGGCATGTACGTGCCATACAACCGGCAGATGCACCTGGGCCACTACACGTACCTTCCCAAGACATCATCTCACCTCGTTCCTTTTGAACCGTAAATTTTTATTCGGTTCTAGAGCGTTTATAATGCTGAATAAAGGCGTGTACTCTGTTCAATTCATTGCTCATTTCGTTTTCTGATCGTTCCAGAAATTCATCTTCGGTCTCGCCGTCTTCTTGTTCCAAGTTTAGGTGATTGAAATTTCCATTCATCACTTCACATGCTATAAACCAGTCCTCGGCTTGTTGGGCTAGCATGTAATTCATCCGGTTTTCCTGCTCAATTACAATTTCGCTTTCAAATTCTTGCATCAAGTTGACAATCGCAGTCAAAACTGCATCTTTGAGGGCCACGGCTCGCTGGCCCTCAAAGATGCAGTTTTGCATCTTTGAGGGCCTTGCCCTCTCTCTCGAACCGATCCCCCTCTCCGTCTCGGACGCCTCGGGGGTGTCGTCGTCGATGTCAATCTGCATAAAACAACATATATATATACTTTTTTAATAACACCGACAACTACAACAAAACAAACGGTAACTAGGCAACCGTTAGGCCTAGCATGTCGAGACTTGCACTGTTGCATAGAGCTCGATTTCAGCTTTGGATTGATACTACCCTCGCCTACCTAGGCCTAAAAGAAAATAATTATGCCAAGTTTATCTACTTTACATATAGGCAGTCTGGCAACCTGCTCACTTTGGTGCCAAATTCAAACATTTTAAAAATTGCATCTCGCTTCCTATTGGTCGCAGCGAAACCGGACTTGAATTGCCGGATAGTACTCGCCGAGACCTTTCGTTTGATATGTCACACGCCCGGGTAGGGCCACACCCGAAAATTCGCAAAAGTGCCGAAATTTGAACCGGGCCGAGACCGGTCGACATTGGTATCGTTGGAAGAGGCTTGACGAGACGAATCGAACGGTGCCCAACACGACTGGGTAGGGCCAAATTTAGGTGCCCGAAATTGGGTCCAAAGAGTTGGCCCGGGCCAAATCCAAAAACAAACTATACCGCCGTGCAGCATTTTTTTAGCTCTCTTTAATGATACCACACTTGGCCCACTTGGACAAAGTCAAATTTTTGGCCTCCTGGGCCAAAAATTTGACTTTGTCCTTCCATGTGGCTATCCGGATTTTCCTGCAGCAGGGCTACCTCTTGTTGTGGTCCTTGCCGTTGGTGTAGCTACGACAATGTGGCGGCTTGTGTTAGGTTAGGTTAAATAGTCGCGTTATTAGGGGGACTGCTTTGTCGTTGTTGATGTCGTCGGCTCTACACATTCCTCGTCGACATTAATGTGACTTAGTAGGTCACCAAATTCATTCAAGTGAGGCAATGTGGCAGTGAAGCCGACGGTACTGTCTTTGTAGGCTGAACTAAAATTATTTGCAAATAGCTCGGGCACGCACTCCGCGTCTCTTGCATAGTGATCCAAAACTATTGCCGATTCGATATCCAACGTGATCTAGTGTACCTCCAAAATTTCTTAGGATTTCTGACAAGGTCAGATTCCACTGAGTCACAATACGCCAGGCGGTCACGGTTTAACATTATCTTACATTTCTTTCTGCAACTCTTGAATTCTACCTCCCACTTTGGGAGACCACTTTTCTTAAACTTTTGGTCTTTCCGTTTTAGTAGCGTTTTTAGTTTGTTAGAAAACAAATTAGGAGAGCCAGGTTTCTTTAAAGATTGTAATGGGATGAATCTCTCCATGGCCTCTTGAAATAATCTCGTAAAGAGAGCTACCTGCTCATTTACATCGGAGGATTCTAAGACCGGAGACCAATCAACACTCGAGAGGTGGTGGAACATCCCGATGTAGTCTCCTGATGAAAAATTGTATAAGATGCGTGGAGGAGAAGCCTCAATAGGAGCGCGAATCGAGGAATCAACAAAAGAAAGCACCAAATCAAGGGCAGGATGATACCTATCCAGAGGAACCATAGGGACTTCACTTCGGGCTACACGCACGCAGTCCATGTTTGAGAGACATAAATCTAAAGCATTACCTTGGTGGTTAAGAATATCGTTGTGTTGTGCAAGATCTAACAAAGAAACAAAGTTTAGGAGGTTGTTGCCTTTCTGCTTGCAATAAAAGTTGTCAGTAGAAACGTTAAACTGCGTCCAGTTGATGCCTGGAGCATTAAAATCACCTAACACTAAGACATTACACCCGTGTAACTCGTTAACGGTGTTCTCTATGCCAGCGAGACACGTGCAAAATTATTTGGGTGTCGTTTGTGGAGGCAGGTAAAATAGGCCGATAAAAAGGCATACTTTTTTTGCACTCTCAATTTCTACCCATAAACTCTCGGGAAACTTTTCTAAACCTTCGCGTCTTTTCGAGCGGAAACGCCTGTCAATGGCCACTAACACGCCGCCTCCAGTTGTATCACGCGTGGCCAAGTTGCGGTCACGCCGGTGCACCACAAAAGAATGTGGAAAGTAATCGGACGGCCCAATGTCACAGCATAACCAAGTTTCCGTTAAACAAAATAGAGAATAACTGGATAGGGTAACGTTAGAAAAAAAAAATTTGGTTTTTGTGTGTAGGCCGCAGACGTTTTGATAAAATAAATCAACGTGACTCATCAACTTTCGTCAGTCGTGGGAGGGCCCTCTGAGACATGGAGAAGGGCTTGTTGACGGGTGCCTCTGAAAGTTTTAAAGAGGCAGGATTTCGGCCAGACGGCAGGGTCAGCAAGTTTCACAAAATCCTCGGCAGCCACGGACACGTGGAAGGAAGCATATGAGTCGTGCCAAGTCTTCAGACGCCGGTACTCCAGATTGTCGAGTCCGACGGAGGATAGGTGAGAGGAGACATCCTCACGGGTGGTGTCTGGCGCCAGTTTGGTGACAAATAAGGCTCTCCGACTCATTGACGGCGAGGCGACGCTCAGTATCGAGGTCTCGGATGCCCCAGTCAGCGCAGCAGTAATAATAATAATAATAATAATAATAATTTTCAGGAATGCAGATCTGGCAGTGTTGATGTTGGACCGGTCAAAGCCAGGAAGGGCTTGTAAGACCAGGTCCAGAGATTACTTAAGAAAAAAAGCAAACATGAGTAAAACAAGCAACTCAATAAACAAAAAATAAAAAAAAAAAAAAATCGCGAGTATGGAAATGTGGCTGTTCCGTTCGAAACACAGTGCAGTTCCTTGAAAGGTGGAAAATTACAATATAAAAAATGAAGTAAATACAAAATAATAATAATAATAATAAATGAATTTATTGCAAATGAACAAAGTGAGTGTGAAGTCAGACCTGCCTAAACCACATTGGACTTCACTGGCAGCGTCTTGGATGCTTGACATGGATGCAGCTTGCCCTTTAGGGGTCTTGCCGTTTCGCCTTTCGCTTGAAGGGCTTGTTGGTACGTCTGCTTACCGGGTGCGCCCCGTGTGACGACTGCTTGATCAGAAGGAAATCTTTTAAAGTGGGGACAACCTGTTTTAGTTGGTTCTGCCTCCTCCCACGTCGTTGTTCTGCAGTTGTGTTGCAACCTTGCGTCTGCCGTCAGATCCTTTGGTCTCTTTTGGAGACGTGCATTTGCATTCTTCTTGGCTAGACAGGTGTGTTGGGACCGAGCGGTTGTCCGGGCACTTGGTGTGCAGCAGGGAGCCGAGCCAGGGCAGGATCTCATCTGGAAGCCGGAATCGTGAAGGACCAGAGAGCAGGAGGGGTGTCTCTTATAACTCTTTATATATACATATGGACAAGTTTACAACATCAACGGGAGAACACTAGAGAATGCTTTCGACAACACTGTTGAGAACACATGCTAGCAGCCTCCTGCTGCTCCTTTTATAACGTCACATTTCCCTATATCCTTAGTAGGGAATCCCTATCGTCCCTGCCTTGACCAAAACTGCGTGGTCAGTCTTCGTAATCTTCAGGCACGCCCCTTCCCTCTTCCTCACACACTGCCACACGCGTCACGCACACCGAGGGCCAGACATCCTTGGTCGGTCACTGGCGCCGTCGAAGTCCGGATGAGGCAAAGATATAATTACCCCCAGGTGCAAATTCTGAGTTTTCACGCGCTAAGGAGATAATCCCATCAGCGCATTAAGCTGGGAAAAGGGCGCATTAGCCCCCTCCTTTGTCCAGGGCGTCCCAAGACCGTCGATGGCGCCGTGCAAAGAGGCGAGGCAGAAGCAGCAAGGAGAGGGGCCGGAAGTAAGATAACGTCGGTCAACTCGGTGATCCCCTTGCACCAAGGGGCGTTGGCGACCCCAAGTCACCTTTTGCTTCGTTTCCGGACACAGCTGCCCGGAGTCATGTGGCGAAAATACTCAAGGCGTTCACCAGTGGCGGTCGGATTAGATTGGGAAGGTCGTTTCCTGGGGCCTTTTGCAACAGGTGGAATCCTGTGCCATTTGGCCTGATACTTAGCAGTTTGCGCAGCTTAGCAGTTTGCGCAGTACGTTTCTCCGCACTGCTTCTCTTCCGGGTGTGCTTTGCTGCGCCCCTTGCGCATTTCAGGTCAAATTCATCTTGGTCTATATTTTCCATGATTTCTTGAGTCAAAAACTGGGCCGCGACGTCTTGCATAACTCCTTTGGCTGCATCATCCGGCGCATGTCCGTAGACCTCCACCACGTGCTCTGCTTCGCCAATCTTGATTTAGGTTATGTTAAGTAATAGTGTTGCAACTTCTTTAGATGGGGTGCTCACCGTTGCAGTGTTTTGGCTCTGGTTGATCTGCAGGCGCATTTTGGATTGTTGCCACATTGTGCTGGTGGCCTGAAGCAGAGCTAGTGCCAGCGTGGACGGTTGGAGCCGGCATACATTTAGTCCGTTGCATGGTCGCAAAACTAGCTTGAAATTTTCCATGGGAAAGTACACGGGCCTGGAAGCAGGTCTGTGGGTCGTAGCTCTTGTCAGCTGCCCCCGCGGCGAAGGCAAAGGTGGCAGCATGAATCGCTTTTGGGTTAGGCTTCACTGTTGTTAACCTCATTGACGCTGTGCCTTCGAGACTACGTCGATCCAGAGTTTCCTTGCTTTCTTTGTTCTTGGCTATCTTCTGCACTTGCATCTTCTTGGTTCATGAAATTATCTTTATTCATATTCGACCTGACTTCCAAAGTGTACGCAGCAGCCGCGCGGCCCACCTCGGTTCCACCGGGCTGGGCCTGATTCATCGCCGTATTTGTAGCTATGCTTGCCATGCTAGCAGTAGGCTTAGTCCGCTCGCTGGGGAA